TCTATTCTTTTTTTATATATTATTTAAATACTTAAAAGGTGTGTATTGTAACAATGTGTATTGTTTATGTAGGAGTTACATACATTAAATTTTCGAAAACATCAGAAGCAGCTTTTGCTCTTGAAGAAATGAATGGAAAAATGTTGGGTTCTGTTGGGAGACCCATTAAAGTAATGATTGCATCAAAGTAAGAATTTGAGTAACTATGTAAAAGTCTTTGAAAGAAGTTTTTGCCTTCTAATATACGTACATTTATTTGTTTATAAATATGAAAATTTAGGTACATTTTTTCAGTCGTGATCAAGGTTCTGTCAGAGAAACAAATGAAGAAGAAAGATGGGTTCGTCTATTTTGTGTGTTACCTAAGTCTATGACAGATAGTGAACTTCAACAAGAATTTTCAAAATTTGGACCTATTGAATATGCAACTGTGGTTAAAGATAGAAACACAAATGAATCAAAAGGTTTTGGTTATGTGAAATTTAAAAAAGTATCTAGTGCAGCAAGAGCATTTGAAGAATGTGATAGGAAATATAAGGCTGTTTTTGCTGAACCAAAAAAGCCAAAACCTGAACACATTGATGTGAAATATAATAATGGACTATCTTCTCATTATGATGGTGCTGGTGGGGGTTATAGTTCATCAAATTTTGGAAAGAGTAGTATTAGTTTAGAAATTGCTACAAATTATCCTAATTCTGAAGGTTACACACATTTGCAAGTCATTGCACATCCAGCTTTGAATCAAGATCAATTATGGAAGTTATTCGACATTGTACCTGGATTAGATTATTGTCATTTGAAAAATGATGTAAGATATAGGATGCCAAGGGGTCAGGCTGTTGTAGTATACTCTAATCCTAGTGCAGCAGCATATGCAAGAGAAAAATTTCATGGTTTTGAATATCCCCCCGGTCATAGGATGATAGTGAAACCTGATTTATCCAGTGGGCCACCAAAAAATGCAATAAAACCAGGTAGTTCTGCAGGTGGAATTGCTACTGCCAGGACAGATTTAGCACATTTAGCTGAAACAATTGCTCAAGCTACATCTTTAATTCAAGCAGCAGGGTTAACAGCACCAAGTGAGATATTATTTTATCTGTGGAATTTGATAATATACAATTTCATTGCATAATTATATTTTTATACAATTAGGTTTAGAACATTCAATGTGTGTTAAGTTACCACCTGTGCAACCAATGGCTAGTATAGATGCAGAAGTTGCCAAAAGGTGTTTTATTGTTTGTGGGCCTCCAGTACCTCCCATCTATGCCATGAAGGATGCCTTCTGCAGATTTGGAAACCTCATAGATGTTTATATGCTTCCAGGGAAGAACTGTGGATATGCAAAGTATGCAAGTGTGCAAAGTGCAAATGAAGCAATTGAGGTATATTTTGTTATATTTTGCTTCAGATTTTAAATCCTTTTTTATATTGTACTAAAGAATTTTTATTTCATAATGCAATATTTTAGAGAAAGGATATAATTGAACGGTGCAATTAAATTATGAACTGATTACATCTTATAGGTTCTGCATGGGCAAGAAATTTGTGGATCCCGATTAAAGGTACTAGAAGCAGAAGAACGCAATGTTGGTGAAGATCGTAGAAAACGACTACGAATGGACGAAGATGAAAACTAAATTTTTTTGTATACCTCGTAAGTAA